CATATTTGGTCAGACAAAACAAACAAAAAAAAAACATTTTGACATTTCTGATGTAAACTGCTGCAAGCAGCAATCAAAGGGGCATGAGCACCTCCTGCGCCACCATCTCTTGGTGGCCAGTTTGTTGAAATATGCTCTACACTCAAACCATATCTTAAAGTGTCACGACCCCCAGGTGGCACTGATGTATCAAAATATTTATAACTCCAAATATTTTCCAAGTATATGGCCAAAACAATACTACAAGTATTGTTTTGGCCAAGAAATTTGGTAACAAGAAGTACCTTATGTCACGTCTCAACTGATGCTACTAACAAGAGATGAAAATGTTTGCAATATTTGTTTAATGTACATATTATACAAAAGCAGCTCAACAGGTATACTTTGGGGTCTCCCAGGTTACTTTCCACGGGTAAGTGTCCACAATGGATCCACAGGTGAGTATTCTCAAGGATTTGTGCTCACTGGGTGCGTCAAACGCCGGACGTGGATAAGAGAACGCTCCGGCCAGGGTGCTAACCGGTAAACTCTGCTCTGCAACCAAGCCAATGGTGAAGGTCACAACCAACAGGAAACACAGGGAGGGAACACCAGGGATCTGAGGAGCAAGCGTAACACGGGGGAAGTAGACAGTACACACACTCACAGGGAGAAGGAGACAGCAATCAAATGGAGAGAGTCCAGGCAGTGATTCCCAATGGAATGACTTTGACAATGGACACCGGGATGCTGGGAAATGAAGTATTTAAAGAGGACTGTAAGAAAGATGGCTTTGCAATGGACTGGCGACCTGTCCAGGGTGTACCCCCACCATTGGCCACCTGGTGGCGCTATAAACAAGAGTGTATGTTGTAGATGTGTTCAGACATGGACTGTTAAAAAAGTTGGGACATTTGGGACTAATCAGATATTGTATGATAGACATAACAATCTCGCAATTTAACATCCCATATGCCTTAAGATAGTACTGATTGAGTTTGGAGCTGAAAAGCTAAAATCTCTAGGAGTTCATTTTTTAATTGTTGAGTTTTTGTAGGTCTCGGTCTCTTACGTAACATGTCTTTCAAACACAGTCCAAAAAAGAGGAAGGAAACTGCAGAAAAGGCAATATTCATTGTGGCCACGCTGTGGTGCTGTGAACGACACTGTAGGTTGCTAAATAGATGTGTTCACACATGGACTCTTAACACACTTGGCAAGTTTCACGCTGATCGGACATTGTCTAGCGGAGTTATTAACATGCTTCAAGGCAAAACATTGAATTTAGGAGGCCACCAACCATAAACCAATTGGCTTCGCATTTTAACATTGTAGAGGCCTTTAGATGAGAGTTTGATGGTGATCACGTGAAAACTCTAGGAGGAGCTCGTAAAAGTACAAGGCCTAAACTTGTACTAAATGTTACAAAAAAAAACGTACTTCCTGTCAGTTTTGGAAACTTACTCCATTTGACTTTATTGTAGGTCTTGGTCCGTTACATAAGTTTTCAGAATTTCAAATGTACTTTAGCACACTCTGACGCCAGTTTCATACCGCAAGCGTAAGAGGGGCATGTCCAGCACGCAACGTAGTAGAAGCACAGTGTAGCCATTTCGCTTTTACACCAGCAGCGTTGGTTGTGCAAGTGTCCATTGCCAAGACTTTTCCTTTGCCTGCAGATCTTTATGTTACAAATGTTGAGCATCATAAATGATCAAACATTTCTCTACTTCGAGAATTAGAGCGTTGTCCATGATGGGGTCTTGGTGGTTAAACTCTGACCCACCCACCTGTGACACTTCCGTTTGTTTACAAATGTCATTATGAGGTCAGCATGAATACTGATCTTACGTTGTAATAATAATAATAATGTAGTAATACTAAATAAATTAATTGAATGTAGCATCAGAAAACATCGGTATAAATTAATTAACCTGGTTTTGTAAGTTCGGGTAAAGATTATATTTTCTTTATCTTGTTAACTACATAATACTGTGTTTCCAACATGGTGGGTCATCAATGTTCTATCATCAATGTTCTATTTGTGCTAAAAACTAAACGCTTTGTTTTTTGCCCATATTTGACACATTGCTGCTGAAAGCGAGCATAAAAATAGAAACGATCGCTGAACTGACGCTCCTGAGCTGCTCCTGTACATGCAGACGTGCTGCCACTGTGGGCGTTGTAAAAGGTGGTGTGAAAAACATGGACGCCGAAAAAATACATGCCACTTACGTTTGCGGCGTTAAACTGGCATGAAATAGCAATAGCAGAATATTGGATAATCCATGTTGCCACTAGGTGGCACTATAACTAACACGGTAAGCTGTTATAAAGATTTGTTTAGACATTGACTCTTAACACGCATGGCAGATTCGAACCCGAGAACCTGCATGGCTGAGTTAATAGCAACTTCCTGTTTGTCCAAACTGTCACTTTTGACAGCCACTGTTTGCACATAGTGTAACAAAGTCTTTGCAATTTAACATCAAATTTCTCTTAAGATAAGACTGATGGAGTTTGGAGATGAACACATTTTACCAGCTCCTGAGTCATTAGCAATGGTTTATAAAAATACACGTAATTTGAAAATACTTCAGTTCTGATCTCATAATAACTAATAATTACTAACAATTTAGTAAATTCCTCTAGATGCAACAAAAGTGGTAGGAGTTCATTACACCTAGAAAAGTTATGAAAGAAAACCAAAAATAACCAACTTCCTGTTGGATTTAAGAGATTTTTTTTTCATATACGTAGGTCTTGGTACCTGAAACAAGCTAGTTAACTTTCAGGTACATGCAGGTCTAGGTTTATGCTAAGTCTCACTTGATGGCATGGAATTATCACAGCTTTTAATAGAACTCAGAATTGGTGTAACCGATGTGTTCCAAAGTCCTTTGCTTCAGTTCTGTTCCTGGAGAAAGTGAAGCTATAGAGACAGATTTATTTTCAATAAAGCTCCCAGACCTCTGAAACCCAGCACACGGTTTCCAGCAGCCGCGTGAGCTGTAGCTGTAATTGAGATAACATAGGCGCTCATGAAAAGCCATTTCCCATTTGTGATATCTGTTCGGCAGATATGGCGGGTTCACAGGAAAGCATATCGGCAGCATTGCAGTCTTATCTCTGATGGGCATCGTTGGCCTCTGCTGGGCATTCAAAGCAAGCGGCATGTGCTCATATCTTAACCACCTGCTTTCCTGCCATTATTCATTCCAACATGTCAATCCAACAGATCCGGGGCTTTACTGCTCAATGTGGACGGCAAAAAAATCCCAAAAAATGATGTTCAGGTATAATGGAAAAACTTCAGCAACACAATGACCCTAAACACGGCTCAAAATTGATTTGTTGCATTCATGCAGAAGAACAAATAGACCGTTCTGGAATTGCCATCACAGTCCCCAGATCTGAATTTAACTGAACATTTAAAGCTCGGAAACCAACCTTCTTTCTAAGGAATAATGGTCCAAAATCAAGAAAGTCGTGAAAACATCCAGGGGTCCAGAAAACCGATTTTGCAAACAACTGTAAACACAAAAAAGAAAGCCATTTCTTTCTCACAGAGAAATGCATGTACTTTATTTTAAGGCAAATATAGTGAATAGCAGCACTTCGTTCATTGTGGCTATTTAAGTAACATTTCTCTGCAGGATAGAGAGCTGATTCAGAATTCATCTCAGGGACTTCTGGTATATCTGTTTGATGGAACAAAGTGAAAATTGCAGGTAAAAAACAAACCCTTCGGGGCTCTTGGAGGAAATGTATGTTTACTGTTAGCGAGCCATTATCACATATTTGTTCACATCCTTTCATTTGAGAATGTGTTGCTTTTTCTCATGCAAAGCTTGGCTTTTCCTGTTTTCTTTGTTAATAAATGGATGCTAGGACAGATGTGAAAGATGCTGAAGGGCTGTGCGTCTTTGCTGCTGGTTGTTCTGCTGTCAGTCTCTTGATTCAGTTAGAGATGACCTCTCAGACACTGGAGGGTGACGATAATAAAAAGCCTGTAGCTTTGTTAACAAAGCCTGAGACACTGTGTACTTATATTCAGCTTGCACTGTAAAAATGATGCCTGAACACAACAAATATTGCTCATTAAATTAAACAGATTTCACTTAAAAATGTTTAGTACATTTCTTTATTTTAAACTGTAATAATCACTTAACAAATTGATTTAAATGTTTACTTGAATTACTAAATAAATGCAACTAGCATTTTTAGCAAATGTAGCAATAATTCAAGGTTTAGTCAGTTCAACACAATATTTTTTCTTTTACAAATATTTTTTCATTACCCTGCACAATAATTCCATAACAAACCTTAAATTGTACATAAAGTTCAGTTCTAAGTATAAAAGTTAGGCATTTTTTAACTGAAATGACAAGAATCAAAACTGTTGAGACCAAAAAAATCATAAAGCCCCTAAAAAATCAAAGACAAGGTGAAACCATTGTGGAATTTGAGTAAAAAAAACTTTAAAAAACACAAGACATATCACAGGTCTTGTAAATCTAAGGTTATCCCTTCTTTTCACCACTAGATGGCACCAGTTGGAGGTCTGTAAAATGAAACTGAAAACCGATTGTACATTTTCTAAAAAAAATTTTTAAGCAAAAATATCAAAACTAATAACCTTTATTAAACCTACACATTATATTTCAAATCAAAATGAAACAATAGGTGGGTCATTCCTACTTTTATCAAAACAAACATTGGCACACGCACCGGTGCGTGCAGAGACTGGTTAACCGTTAGGTCGGTAGCATGAAAATAACATTCAGAGAGGAAGTGACTAGACATCAGGTAGGGCAGACAGATATAGGTGCATGTAAGAACAGGAAGTATTCTGCAATCAGCACATGACAGACCAAGTGGGCAGTGGAAGGTTAGTGGCATTTAAAGGGGAGTGGGGTGATCATGGATGCAGGTCAAAACATTTACATTTAAGCATTTAGTACACGCTTTTATCCAAAGCGACTTACATTTGAATGGATGAACACTTTTTTTGTCAGATCTGCTTTCCCTGGGATTTGAACACACAACCTGTGCGTTGGTAGTGCAATGCAATCTACGAACTGAGCCACAGGAAAGCCCAAAATAAGTGATTTGATGATTGATGCACCATTCTTTATACTTGATCTAGTGCCTGAGTATGTCTGTATTGTATAGGGATGAAACCGAAACCGAAGGCTGCACTGGTTCAATATTTATCAATAAAACATATTCCGCATAGCCTATTGAACCACAACCTTATACACAGTGTATATAAGCAATTTTGTCTGATGGCTTTACCAGTAATTTCAAGGGAATACATTTTCAACATGCCAAAAGAAGACAGAAGATACATACGTTTGCGTTTGGTCTCTGAAAAACATGTGCTCTGCCTCCCGCCTGTTGTGAAACCCCTTGTTCTCATCGTTTCCATGAGTTTAGCCATTTTTTGTGCAGGGTGGAGCTGACAGTGATGTGTGATGCGCAATCTATAAACAATCTGCAAAGGACCAACGTTTTCAACTCCCCCGACCCAACCTACCATGACCCAAATATCATTAAAATATTTTTGCATGACTTTAGACACCAACTCACTTTGGATCAAGCTGAAGGTTGACATCTGCTCTGACTGCTAAAGAATAATGAAGCCGGTGCCCGCTTGCTGCACTGCAGTGACTATGCCGGCTACCATTGCATTACCATTGACATCGGTGTTATTAACAAGACTTGTTAATGAAATCTTTTTTTCCAGTTTTTCAGATCAGCTGAGTTTTTACCAGATTTATTATATATATATACATATAGATAACAACATACTTAAGATAATAAAATCTCAAGTACAACAATGCAACTAGCTATTTTGTGTGGCACACTCGTTCTGTAAGAATAGCTGAAAATTATTTACCAAAGAATGTTCCGAAACAGGTTGCTTTTCTAAACACCTTCTTGTGTCATGCAGATGTGTGCAGGATGCTAAAACCATTCATCATTGGTTCAAATCTCTCACCATCTACCCACTGACTCGCTGACTTATTTATGAGAGCCCACCAGGGTGTTCATGGGAAGGCATCAGCAGCATCCGTCACAGGCCTCTCACTATCCACACGGTGTCCATCGATTTCCAGCTCTCGCCCAGGACACCGGCCATCAATCAACATAGTAAAAAGTCTTCATTTCTGGTGGGAAAAACACACACTCTCTGACTGCAACAGAAACCCAACTCTGCCTGACATTTCCAGATGTGTGAACTGAAAATGCACTTCATTTGTTTTTAATTGCAACAACAAGACGAGCCATTTTTGTTACTGAAATAATTAACAGTCAAAGATTACAAAAAAGGTTTGTTTACAAATGTATTTTCTAAAGATACACATCACCATATGTCTAACATTTCTTGAAATAAATTTTTTGAATGAAATGAAATAAATGAAATTCACTTTTTTTTACGAAAATCATTTCAATATTTAACCCTTATATATTTAACCCCAGCCACTTCAGGGTGATTTTCTGTGACAAATCTTATTTTTACACATATTTTAAGAAAATGCTTTGAAAGTTTTCAAAAACCCAAAAAAATGCACTTTGGGAAAATGTACTACCCTTCCGTGTTGTTGGTGGCTGTGGCACTAAATTAATCTGCTCTAAAAATCTTTTTTGCATAAATCTCTCTCTCTACCTCAGCTCTAATCAACAGTACAGTTTTTTTTTAATCCAGAATTTTAACCCTTTAATTCCTAAGATCTTACATGATGTCACTGATTGTCACTTACTGATGTGGCCTGGATTTTTTCTACCCTTTATCACAGTCTTGGATGTGTCAAACATTAGTAACAACATTGGCATTGGTGGATTTTTAGTTTTTGTGTAGCACCAGATTTTATTTTTTTCTCTCTCATTTTTGGTTGGTTCCTTATTGACCTCCATTAAAACAAGTTTTTTTGATTGTAAAGCCACAACACCAAATAATCCGGCATTTTTGATTGGTGGCTGTCATTCCTGCTGGGAAAAGGTAAAATAACTGTGATGTAGGCCTGTGCAAAAAGCCTAGCTTCTCACTGGTATGTGAAGTTAAATGAAATATAATAGCATGTTAATGTGTGTGTGAGGGAGAGAGTTTGTTCTGTAAATAATCCATTCTGCATCAGATTTCGGAACATAATTTATTATGAACAACAGCTGAACAATGGTGAATGGCTCCAATATGAAAAGTACAAAAGACAATGGTCAAATGAACCGAACAATGGTACAAAACTTGAGAATGGTTGGAGGACTTAACAATTACACTTTTAAAATGTATTTAACCGATGTACTCTATTTAACTTCACATATCAGTGAGAAACTAGGCTTTTTGGACAGACCTATCTCAAGGTTAACAATTCTAAATGGTCAGCAACAGTAAAAATCTCACATTTTCCATCGATTTCCATCACATTTTCCACCAAAATCTCGATTGACCAACAACAATCAAGAATGCAGGATTATTTGGTGTCATGGCTTTGCAACAAAAAAGTCCCAATAATGGAAGTCAATGGAGAACGAACAATAAATGAGTGAGAAAAAAAAAGAAAATCTGGAGCTACACAAAAACTATGTGTAAATATTAGATTTTTTACCAAAATGTATTCAATTTGATGAAACAGAGAAAGGATTGGACTAAAAATCAGCCTGAAGTGTCTGAAAACACCCCCAACAACACATTCACGAGTGAGTGAATAAAAGAAAATTAAATTCGAATAAATATCGGTGTTATTGCTATTAAACCAGCATGAATTCATTGAGGAACACAAGTACAGAGTCAGAAATCCTTTGCGCTTTATATTTGTGGATATAAACCAGCCTGAGCGCGTTTCATGAAAGACTTGGTACGATCCATCGCCCCCCCTCTTTCACGCTGGTGGTTCGGTCTGTATTGAGAAGGTCAGATTACTCTGTGCTCGTGCCTCGTCCTGCACACAGATGCGAGTTCCAGTGACCCGCTGCAGAAACTCGGCCCAAACACCGAACCCTGCAGCACAGAGCTGAGGCATGGACAGAGTTTCAGTCTGAAAGTGAGTGAGAGCTTTGTTTGTGTCTCCTTCATCTGCCTGGTGTCTGCTCAGGGAAAGATGCTGCTGCATCACCTGCAGAGCGGGACAGGGGAAGTCTGGCAACAGCTGGACACTGAGTGTTTGTGCATGGAGTGGAGATAGATACATGTGTGCAAAACTGAGATTTATGCGTTCTGTCACGTTTGTTTTGGAATGTTCGGGTTGTTCGTGTTGAGTCTCATATTGCACCTGTTTTAAAGTTTTACTTGTGGAATATTGAGAAGATGCTATCGAACCACTTTGAGGTGCACGCATTTAAAATATGATTGTGATTTTAAATGTTAATCAATTTAAATGAAATCATTTTCAATGCTTGTTTTATCAGTGAAGCGTCTAACAAATTAAAAAGTGTCTATGTATGAAACGAAATGTTTTTTTCTGCATGTATTATTATTATTTTTAAATAGAAACTACAGTTAAATAATTGTAAAAATGAAAAAAGCAAAAACTAAACATAATTTCCTCAGATTTTAGTCAGTGTTGTGTGCTTAAAAAAGTGACTCATGCTGATATAACAGTGGCTCATGAGAGCTATTCATCCTTGGAATTCTGTTCAATGTCAGCTTTTCTGATGACTAAAAGCCTCTTCGTTTCAGCTTTTGTTTTAAAAGAAACATTCTCCATGCCCCGATTATAAGTAGTGTTTTAACATTTCTGACACCATTCTGCTGTTTTCTAGACCTGGTAATAGCACTTTAAGCAAAGCATAGATGATCAAATTTTCATATCTATACCATGTTTACCCTAATGTAGCTTTAAAATAGTTGAGTTTAACCGAAATGCTAACGGTCTGAATGGATTCAATAGTCTATGCTAAGCTATGCTAACATTCCATCCAACTATTTTTATGCGCATTTGTGAATATCGCATTAAAAAAATAAACCCTAGATGCAAGTGTGTGTGTGTGTGTGTGTGTCTATATATATATATTCATACCCAGTTTATCAGGAATTGATTTTTTTTCCTCTATGACTCATTGGATGGAAACAGTGCTTTATTTTCAAATATTTTATGCGATGTTCCAAATTTATATCAAAAGGATGGAAACAAAAAAAAACTGCTTATGTAGAGGAGGAGCCTGGCTAGAAAAAAGTGTTCCACTAAAACGTGTCCATCTCTTTTAAAATTACTTGAATCTTGCAACAACAAAAAAAATAGCTATGAAAACTGCAATCAAACTCCCCTGTTATTTCGGATTGTTGACACGATGGGAGAAAATCTTGCAATCTCACAGTGATGATTACCATTATGCAGGTTTTTCTTCAATGTTACAGAAGGACATGTGTCTGGCCCATCTCTTGCTCTAGGGGGAGCTCTTCCACACTGATGCTGCTCCAGAAAAGTTTGAAGCTTGCAGTGAGATCAAAAAAACATTCAGAGACCTTGAATCAGCTTTCTTGTATTTTCTGTCTTAATATTGAATCATGTGTCCAGAAGGTGGAGCTCAGGCATGTTGGAGATGTATAAAACATTGGATGATTGCTTTCGTGTGAATCTGCAGGGTGAGGTCAAGGGCAGGAGAGGGCCTGGAATGGGCTGGATTTACAAATCTATAGAAAGCCCTTGGAGATTTAGGTAGGTTGGTGGGTTGAGAAAAATGCTCGTTTGTATATGGTGCTCAGAGGCTTTTACATCCGAACCCAAGGCAAGATGGGTGATTTTAAAAGATAAAATCAAAAGTTGTTAAAGTAGACATTATATCAAACATTGTTTCAAACTTGTTCTTCAAAGGCACCAGTGTCTCACCTGGACATCGTCCCTTTTTCTTTCTGCATTCACTAATAGCTTTTTTGATTGTAATAAATGAAGAACGCACCCCATTGGTAAACTGCACTAAAATCATTTTTGAAGAGTGGCCACTCAAGAAAAAAGGCCCCGAAAAGCTTTTTTGTTTAATTTGTTTTCTCTTTCACTCTTCAACCCCACAATTGATTACAGTAGAAATTTTAAATTATGGTTAATTTTCTTATTAACGTTTAATTTTCCATCGCCCTCAACCCGTTGACGTTTCACA